CCATCCCCGGGAACTACTAGAGGGAATTTCCCAAAAAACCTTCTCTCTTGGGGACCAACTGAGGGGCCCCCGGAATACCGAGTTTTTAATCACTTTAAAAAAAATCAGGGGAAACTGTTTTCATTCCCACCATTATTGTACAAGTGAGCGGCCATGTTTTTTCACATGCACTCATTATTTTTTTCAAATACTAGAAATAGCACCTTCCCCAAAAAATCAAGATGGAAGGGGTTTCACCAATACATAAAAGGGGGTGACCCCACGATTTTAAAAAACTATGGCCAATTCAAACTTACCATTGCTTCCCAAAAACTTTGAGAAACTCCTGCACGGGGGACTATATTCATTTTAACAGCACAAAACATACTCAACCCCGCCAATTTATTAGGGAAAAATAAAAGCACTAACGATGCAATCAAAAAATGCTAGATCGGGTTTACGCAGCATTGAAAATAAGGGGAAAACTACTAGGGAATTTTTTTTTACCTAAGAAAAAACTTTGCACAGTAGACCACGGATCCTACTCCCAAACTTGACCTTACGGTTAAGAGGGCCCTGGCTTTCATATTTAAATCTTACCCTTTCTAATAGGATCAGTAGTCACCTTAAAGACCAGCTCAACAAAAGGCCTTATACTGGGTTCGAGGGAAGTGTCCTTGGTCCCCTGCTTTCCCATAAATCAATGACTTCCAAAAATATCTCAACACCGAACCCATTCCGTTGTGACGACACGACTTATGTCACTCTCACCCCATCTTGCCACCCCAAAACCCTTGTTAATGAGGGGTGATCAAAAAATCGATTGGATGACAGGCCCAACACTTTTGTTAAAACTGACAAAACTACCATTATGTTTGGTACAGAGCGGGGTTTCACAAATTAACATTAAGATCGACAACACTCTAATTTCCGGCATAATGAGGGGAAATTCCTACCTATACCTCGACAACAAACCCGAATTTCAGCACCCCTTCCCAAACAAACCAAAAAGACCAAGACGGTTGGGGTCCCTCCAAGATACGATACTACGTGCCGCAAACTGCCCTTCTCACACTGTTTTTTCCTTATATTCCATACCTCACCTATTATCGTGTTTGGGGGTTCACTGCAGCAACACACCTAACCCAAAAATAACCCAACAAAAAGCCCAGTAAAAATCACTAAACCCCCTCCCGGGAAACCCCCCCCCCCCCCCCCACTCTTCATGATCAAAAACTTACTCCAGTTCAGTACATCCACATTTACTAGTGCAATCTCATCACAGGCCCTTTAAAATTCCCAAAATTTTAAACCTTGCCTAAAAATGCTTTTTGAATTTGTGACAAAACCCCCCAAACATAACACCAACTAAACATCTATGAATTCCCCCGTGTCCGACTAAACCCTTAAAAAAATTCTGTGTGTAAAGGGCCCTGAAATCTGGAAACCCTCCCTAAAAAATCAGAACTGCAGATACATTCATCACTTCAAAAAACCCATTAGAAAACTTTATCTCCTGAACCCCCTGTCAACTAAACACGAATCCCACCTGGGGTTTCTCACTTACACTCCTCACCCTTTTGACCATAAACAGAAATATCAATCTTAAAATAAGAATCCAAACGTCAAGTTGGGCCCGTGATGTCCAATATAAACTATGTATTGTGCCAAAAAAAGCATTCACATGCTAAACTACAAATAATTTTGTACTTTGCCCTAAACCAACTTACCCCATAATTTTAAATTTTTTTAAATTTAAAATTTTAAACCCAAACTGCCCAAAATGCCTAGCCCTGCTAGGTGTTTAGTGGTCACTCTGGGAATTATTATTTTTTTCATGTAAAACCCCACAATAACCCAAAATTTTGAAAAACACATTGTAATCCTTTTAGGGAAAAAACTTTGAATTTGAAATTTTAATTTGAATTTAATACTATACGAAATAGACCCAAGTTGGCATTTTAATTAAAAAAAAAAAGTCGGATTTTTTTTTTTCTTTATGCATGCGTGCCCAGGTTTTTTTTATGGGTGCCACTGACCCACAGACCCATTTCTACATTTGGACCTACCAGCTTTCCCTTATTTGAACCGCAGAATTTAGAATAATACGTCAAATACAGTACCTCGTAAGACGTATATATACTGCCGCAACAGTCAAAGGGTTAATAACACCATTAAAATCAGTTCTTAGACCAGCAAGAGATGGAAGTTGGCTGATGAAGTGATAACAACCAAGTGTAGCAGCAGGATCAGCAAGAGAAACTAGTGAAAAACAGCAAATTAATGAGAGAGAAATATTGTTAGAATAAACCAAGATAGCCCTAGGAAGTAGCTTGGTAAACAGCAGCTGCCCAGGGAAGTACTACCGTCCTGCCAAGTGAGTGTAAAACAGAAACTTGTAATTGTTTTACATGATAGTAGGATTGTTGGTGTCTTTTTTTGTCTCATAAACATAGAGGTTGGTGAATGAGTTTGGTAGGGTATGTAAGAAAAGAAAATTAAAAGTGAATATAGGAAAGAGTAAGGTTATGAGGATAAAAAAAAATTAGGTAATGAAAAATTGGATATTAGATTGGAGAGAGAGAGTATGGAGGAGGTGAATGTATTCATATATTTAGGAGTGGATATGTAAGCAGATGGATCTATGAAAGATGAGGTGAATTAGAATTGATGAAGGGAAAAAGGTGAGTGGTGCACTGAGGAGTCTGTGGAGACAAAGAACTTTGTCCATGGAAGCAAAGAGGGGAATGTATGAGAGTATAGTTATACCATTGCCCTTATATGGGTGTGAAGCATGATTGGTGAATGTTGCAGCAAGAAGGCTGGAGGCAGTGGCGATGTCGTGTCTGGGGACAATGTATGGTGTGAATATAATGCAGAGAATTCATAGTTTGGAAATTAGGAGGAGGTGCAGAATTACCAAAAATACTATCCAGAGGGCTGAGGAGGGGTTGTTGAGGTGGTTCGGACATGTAGAGAGGCTGGAATAAAATAGAATGACTTCAGGAGTGTATAAATCTGTAGTGGAGGGAAGGCGGGGTGGCGGTCAGCCTAGGAGAAAAGCTTACGACGACGTTTCGGTCCGACTTGGACCATTGACAAAGTCACACTAACCAGAAGTGGAGCAGGACGGCTATATATAGGCAGGAAGAGGTGGGGGGTAGTAGTAGTAGTAGTAGTAGTAGTACAAGAATGGTATATAATACCAACAAGGTGAAATTAAGACACATGCGCAACATCCGGGCATCCCTATCATAGACGTTTCGCCATCCAGCCAGCCACTGGATGGCGAAACGTCCACAACGAAGACAACCAGACGCCACACATGTGTTTTAATTTCATCAGTAGTTGTAGTAGTGGTAGTGGTAGAAGTGGCTCGTCCTCCTTATTTCCCACTTCTACCACTACCACTACTACTACCTCTTCTACTACTACTACTACTACTACTACTACTACTACAACAACTGATGAAATTAAGACACATGTGCGGCATCTGGTTGTCTTCGTTGTGGACGTTTCGCCATCCAGTGGCTGGCTGGATGGCGAAACGTCTACAATAGGGATGCCCGGATGTTGCGCATGTGTCTTAATTTTCACCTTGTCGATATTATATACCATTCTTGTACTACTACTACTACTACTACTACTACTACTACTACTACTACTACTACTACTACTACTACTACTACTACTACTACTACTACTACTACTACTACTACTACTACTACTAGCTACTACTCCACTACCCTACTACACTACTACCTACCCTACTACACACTACTACTACTACACACTACTACTACTACACTACTACTACTACTACACTACTACTACTACTACTCCACTACTCACTACTACTACTACTACACTCACCCCACCACCACCACCCCACCACCACCACCCCACCCTCTTCCTCCCTATATATAGCCATTCTGCTCCACTTCTGGCTAGTGTGACTTTGTCAATGGTCCAAGTCAGACCGAAACGTCGTCGTAAGCTTCTCTCTTTTATGTGCGGGTTATTTGTGTATCGTTCCAGTCACGGTATTGTGCCTTTTTTTGTTACTTATGAAGGGATTCAGGGAAACCAGCAGGCCGGACTTGAGTCCTGGAGATGGGAAGTACAGTGCCTGCACTCTGAAGGAGGGGTGCTAATGCTGCAGTTTTATAATTGTAGTGATGGAATAGATGATGGTGAAAGTTTTTCTTTTTCAGGCCACCTTACCTTGGTGGGAAATGGCTGATGTGTTAATAAAAAACATAAAAAAAAAAATGCAAGGTTTTAGGTATGCCTTGCTACTTCTACTTACACTTAGGTCACACTACACATACATGTACAAACATATATATACACATCCCTGTGGGTTTTCTTCAGTTTTCTTCCTAGTTTCTTGTTTTTGTTTATTTCCACTTATCTCCATGGGGAAGTGATACAGAATTCTTCCTCTGTAAGCCATGCATGCCGTAAGAGGCGACTAAAATGCCGGGAGCAAGGGGCTAGTAACCCCTTCTCCCGTATAAAATACTAAATGTAAAGAGGGACACCTTCATTTTTCTTTTTGGGCTACCCTGCCTCGGTGGGATATTGCCAGTTTGTCGAAAAAAAAAAACATAGCAGGCTCGTGCACTTACTCTGTAATACTACCTGCTGAGTTGTGAGAATCAGAGTCTGCTTTCTGCTGCTGTTTAACAATGCCTTGCTTTATGTTACACTGCACTAGATGGAAATAAGATTTGCTAGTTATAATTTTTTTTTTTAATGGAGTGTGATTATAGGTCTAAGAATTGATGTGAAAATTAATGAAAATTGCTGAATTACAAATATTCAAGCTTAAGAATGTAGTAAGAAAATACTGTGACATATTCAAAATTCAGTTTTGGTGTATTTCAAAGTAAGGAACTGAGTGCACATATAGTGTAATAAATTTTGTGAATAGGTTTAACAAGCAGTTGTCAGTTAATGATACTGCATTGATTCATTGCTAATGATATGTACTGTCATTTATTCTTGAACTTTTTCAGGCTTTGGTGCATGTTTCCAGTGAGTTATCCAAGGGTAATTTTGAGGCTCTTCATGAGCTGATTACAAAACCAACTCTAGAAGAAATACAAAGAAACTTCGCTCGTCTCTCCTTGAAACAAAGACTGGATCTGGCTGTTTTGGCTGATGATATATTTTTTTCATTCCCCTACCAAATTGGAATAATATTTACCAATGAAGGTTTGTTTGAGAACTGAGGAAAAGCACCAAATCATCACCATGTACTGTAAATGTGCTTAATCCTGGAGTGCTACAGCTCTTAACAATTTTGTTTTCTCTACTGCATATAAAATATACAAAAATTTGTTTGATAAATTCATAATAGATTAATTATATGGTATGCTTAAGCAAATTTTTACTGCCTTATCATAGTTTAGTAAATTTAAATCCATTTTAACAGCACAATAAAAGATAAATCCTTCAAGCCCTAAGGCTGGGGGGGAGGGCTCTTGATCCAGGGAATTAGAGATATCTCATGGTATACATCAGTCTTACTACAGTGCATCACGAATATTACTCCACACACTGATTACCACGAAATTGTATCCTTTTCAAAAGATCTCAACATGCAATTCTACTATCATTCAGTGGCAGGCCCACCACATTACACTACCATATACATAGCTATACAGGAGCAGTGGGCTTATTTTCAAAGCTACCCAAAATACTTCAGTGACACTGCTTGGTAATTTTTGTAACTTTATCAATACAGGAGAAGGGGTAACTAGCCCCTTAACCCCAGCATTTTAGTCACCTCTTACAACACGCATGGCTTACGAAGGAACAATTCTGTTCCACTTTCCCATGGAGAAAAGCTTATATGTACTCTGTATATGTGTGTGAAGCACTAGGTATATGTGGGTCATTCAGGATAATACACAAATAACCCGCACATAAAAGAGAGAAGCTTACGACGACGTTTCGGTCCGACTTGGACCATTGACAAAGTCACACTAACAGAGGTGGAGCAGGACGGCTATATATAGGCAGGAAGAGGTGGTAGTAGTAGTAGTAGTAGTACAAGAATTGTATATAATACCGACAGGATGAAATTAAGACACATGCACAATGCCCGGGCATCCCCATCGTAGACGTTTCGCCATCCAGCCAGCCACTGGATGGCGAAACGTCCACAACAAAGACAACCAGACGCCGCACATGTGTCTTAATTTCAACAGTAGTTGTAGTAGAAGAAGAAGAGGTAGTAGTAGTGGTAGCGGAAGAAGTGGGAAATAAGGAAGACGAGCCAGTCAAATACAAAGGAAGGGGAGCACTGCAAGAGAGCTAGATACCCACAGAGGGAGAGCAAGCGCACAGAGGTGCGTGAAAGGGGAAGTGGTGAAATAAAATAAATGAAGAAGGAACAGAAACACGAGACAGGAAAGAGAAAGACAACCCAGAGGAGAAATGGAGAGAGGAAAGGCGAAGAGGAAGAAGAAAAAGAAAAAGAAAAAGAAAAAGTGAGGATTCAGGTTAAGTCACGGGTGTTCTGAAGTTTGGAGCATTTTACAATGTAGTGGGAGAGGAAGTCATCTACAGAGACGAAGCCAGGGCTAAGGTTCATACAAGGAAAGTTGTGTATTAGAGAGGATTCAACTAGACGAGCGACTGTTCGAGTTGGAAGTAGGGAAGACAGTTTTAGCAGAAGACCAGTCAATAGGATGGCTATGATCTCTGACGTGACAGAAAAGAGCATTGTTAGTGTCGGCAAGCCTAACACTATTTTGTGCTCCCTAAGTCTGTCAGAAAGAGATCGACCAGTTTCTCTGAAGTATTGAAGAGGACAGGAGGAGCAAGAAATAGAGTAGACACCAGGAACATCTGTAGAGGGAGGAGAGTATGAACGAGATTAGTGCGAAGAGTGTTAGTCTGGCGGAAGGTAAGCTTAATGTCTAAGGGACGGAGAGAATTGTTGAGATTAGAAAGACGGAAATGTAGGGAAGCAGAGGATAGAAGAGTTCCCATGAGTAGAGAGTTTGGGAGAGAAGAAATTGCATTTAGCACGTGAGAGGGCAGAGTCTATGAAATGGGAAGGGTAGCCAAGACGGGAGAACGAATTATGAAGAGTGGAAATTTCTGCTGGAAGGAACTGAGGATCACAGATGCGGAGGGCACGGAGAAAGAGGGAGATAAGAACACTTTTCTTGACAGGGGAAGCATGATAGGAAAAGTAGTGAATGTACATGCCACTGGCATAGGTTTACGGTAAACGGAAAAGGAAAATCTTTCAACACTCCACACCAGGCCGTATCCACCGAAAGGCGTGGTTGGCTCATAAAAGGAAAATCGTAAGTTTCTCCTTTTACATTTAGGAATATATACAGGAGAAGAGGGTACTAGCTCCTTGCTTCTGGCATTTTAGTCGCCTCTTACAACACGCCTGGCGTTAGGAAGGATGAAATCTGTTCACACTTCCCAGGAGGTAAGAGGAAAAATAAACAAGAAACAAGAACTAGAAAGAAAATAGAAGAAAAAACCAAAAGGGGTGTGTATATATTATGCTTGTACATGTATTTGTAGTGTGACCTAAGTGTAAGTTGAAGTAGCAAGAACAGACCTGAAATCTTGCATTGTATGCAGACTGATAAAAAAGACACCAGCATCTTACCATCGTGTAAAACAATTACAGGCTTCAGTTTACACTCACCTGGGCAGGACGGTAGTACCTCCCTGGGGGGTGCTATCTACAACCTACTTCCTAACTATTTATATAATATATCTTCATCTTTTCAACACACCGGCGTATCCCAGAGGCGGGGTGGCCCAAAGGGAAAAACGAAGTTTCTCTTTTATTTAGTAATATATACAGGAGCAGAGGTAACAGCCCTGCTCCCGGCATTTTAGTTGCCTCTTACAACAGCAGGCTTACGGAGGGAAGAAACTCTGTTCCACTTCCCCATGGAGATATAGAGGAAATAAACAAGAATAAGAAACTAGAAAGAAATTAGAAGAAATCCCAGGAGGGGTGTGTTATTTATGTGCTTGTACATGTATCGTGTAGTGTGAACTAAGTGTAAGTAGAAGTAGCAAAGACGTACCGGAAATCTTGCATGTTCTTGTGACAGAAAAAGGACCCAGCAATCTTCCATATGATAAAACAATTACGGGTTCGTTTTTACACTCACTTGGCAGGACGGTAGTAGTACCTCCCTGGCCGGGTGCTATCTTTTTTTTTTTTTTACAACTACTACCTACAATATATATATATTATTTTATATATATTATATATATATATATATATAGATATATAGATATTATATATATCTATATATATTATATATAATTAATTTTTTTTTTTTTAAATTATAAATATCTATATATATATATATTTATATATATTTATTATATACTTTATATATATATATATATATATATATATATATTATATATTTATATATATATATATATATTTATATATTATATATATATTATATATATATTATATATATATAGATATTTATATATATATATATATCTATTATTAATATATATATATATATATTTATATTATAAATATATATATTGTTTTTACATGATGGTTAGGATTGCATGGTGTCCTTTTTCTGTCTCATGAACATGCAAGTTTTCAGGTACGTCTTGTACTTTTCTTACTTACACTTAGGTCCCATACAACATACATGTACAAGCACCATATATCACACCACTTGGGTTTTCTTCTATTTTCTGTTTAGTTCTTATTCTTGTTTATTCCTCGTATATCCATGTTTTTCCCTTTTCGGGAAGTGGAACAGAATTCATCCTCGTAAGCCATGCGTGTTGTAAGAGGCGACTAAAATGCCGGGAGCAAGGGGGCTGGGGGCTAGTAAACTCTTCTCTATGTATATAATATAAATGTAAAAGGTGATACTTTCGTTTTTCCTTTTGGGCCACCCGCCTCGGTGTGGGATACGGCCCGGTGTGTTGAAAAGAAAGAAGATATATATATATATATATATAGATATCTTTCTTTTCTGTCAACACCACCGGCCGTTATCCACCGAGGAGGGTGGCCCAAAAGGAAAAACGAGTTTCTCCTTTACATTTAGTAATATATACAGGAGAGAGGTTAACCCCTGCCTCACGGCATTTAGTTGCCTCTTACAACTCCGCCAATCTCCGCTTACGGCTCGCGCTCTCGAACTCTGTACACCCCCCACACTTCCCCCCCCACCCCCCCACCGGAGATAAGAGCCGCAACATAAACAAGAAATACGCCCCCCTCCCACTAGAAAGAAAATAGAAAGAAAACCAGAGTGGTGTGTATATATGTGCTTGTACATGTAAGATGTAGTGTGACCTAAGTGTCAACAGTGAAGTAGCAAGACGTACTGAAATCGCTGCATGTTCATGAGACAGTAAAAAAAGGTCAACAGCAATTCCTACCATCTGTAAAACAATTACAGGCTTGTCGTTTTACACTCACTTGGAGGACGGTAGTACCTCCCTGGGCGCGTGCTTTCTACAAACTACTAACCTACAATATATTTCATATATTATATATATTATATTTATATATATATATTATATATTATATATATATATATATATATATTATTTATTATATATATATATATATATATAATATATATATTATATATATTATATTTATATACCATTAGTATATATAATTTATCTATTATATATTATATAATATTTTATATTAATATTATTAGTAAATATATTTATTATATAGATTATATATTATATATATATTTTATTATATTATATATTATATTATATTATATATATATATATATAAATATATATATATATATATATAATATATTTATATATATATACTATATTTATATATTATATATATATATATATATTGTTTTACATGATGGTAGGATTGATGGTGTCCTTTTTTCTGTCTCCATGAAACATGCAAGTTTTCAGGTACGTAGTGCTACTTCTACTTACACTTAGGTCACACTCACATACATGTTACACGCATCATATTTACACCACCCCTCTGGGTTTTCTTCTATTTTCTTTTCTGTTCTTATTTCTTGTTTATTTCCTCTTATCTCCATGGAAGTGGCCTCTATATAGACATTTCTTCCTCCGTAAGACCATGCGTGTTGTAAGAGGCGACTATAAAAATGCCGGGAGGCAAGGGGGCTAGTATCCTTTCTCCTGTATATATTAATAAAATGTAAAGAGAAACTTTCGTTTTT